TTCAATTTATTATTGTCATCATAATTTACTTTCGGCACAGCATTCCATTTCAACAGTTTCTTTTTGTGGCTATCCAAACAAGCGATTTTTCTATCATCTTCATAAACACTGCATAGAAAATGTTCGCTGCAGATTTTTCCGCTCTTTGCATTAATAGAATCTTGTCTTTGACATTTGTGTACCCATTCTTTCGTCAAAAGCAAAACCTCATTTGGATCCTTTGGTCCCATGAAATAAAATATCTCATCCTTTCGTACTTCTGTAAGTGCTACGGCAAGTTACTACAGCGCAAAAAGCCATATTACGTAAATGGTACTTTACAATATAGAATTTAAAATAAAAACTGACTAAAATTACATATATATAAATTATTTTAAATATATACATTATTAGAAAACTGATATATATATGATTAAAATTAATTTGGGATATGTAACCTCTAGAAAATCGTCTCACAGCTGAATGAAACTACAGTTTTAAACGCGGGAAATCAGAACAGGTGGCATCACAGTGATGTCAGATTACTGCCTGTTAATTTTCCCCATTAGGCTCGCGTCGGCGAGGAGTCAAACAAAGAAATAAGCTAGCCCTTTCTATTTATCCCTGGGAATTCGAGATGCTCTTTAAGAACTTACAGAAATGCCTGTGTCTGATCTGGTACTCTGACACGAAATAGAGACTCTTGTAGCACAAAGAGAAGTTAAAATTTTCTAGAGATGATAAATGTCTGGTATGACATCACAGGCATGGTAAATGTTAGCAAAACTATGCAGAACACTTCTGTGGAACTATCTACTGCAGTTTCATTAATCACTGAATACGTAACCGATTATCATAAAAATGAATACGAAAAGACAATAGAGATTTCAAAAGATTTAGCTGCAGAATTAGTTCTACAGCCCATTTTTAGATGCAAAAGTATAATAAGAAAGATTGTTTGCATATGAGTACACTTGTGATGTTCCAAATGCAGATAACCCAGAAAAAAAAAAAGATTTAAAAATGTGTTCAGTGTAATACTCAACAAAGCTATTAATTAATTATGAGAGAGATTTGAATAGTTAAAGTTTCAGTAACAAATGGGTTTTTCTAAATGACTAAAGATATGCCAGATAAAAAATAAACTCAAAGTAGCATCTCACGGCTTGGACAGCAAGCTAAGGTATCAACAAACTAGTGATATTAACAGATTTGATTACTTGACTGAACTAGACATAGCCAAAGAATTATACCCTGAAGATGTAAAGCTTCCAATAAAATCTGGTAGGTTCATAAACACTAATTAGTTACAAGAATTCGTATAAAATCTGTGGGTTGCATTAAGAATAATGCTTATATACCTATTACTGCAGCTACTGGCGAGAGAAGCTTTAATAAAGTAAAGCTTAATAAAATGTACTTACAGTCATCCAAGTCTAAAGACAAGATTTAATTCTTTGCCATTTCTGAGTATAGAAAATAAATGCAGAAAGTGACATGAAAAGGTTTGCTGACCTTAATGCTAGAAAAAAAGAGTTTGAGGAAAGTGCAGAATCGTCCACTGCTTGGCGCATTTTTAAGAATTGCACATACTCGGTATCCATGTACACATCAACCTGTTTTCACTTAAAAAGTCAAAGAAAATCGACAGAAATCCAATTCTTCTTACGCTTGTAAAAAAGAGCCAAACAAATAAGTGGGTGATTCTGCCCTTTACCCAAATGTTTTAGTAGGGTAAATTTTTGATACTGTGTAAAATACTTGTTAAGGAAAACAATACTGTTCATTGTATGTTAAAAAATAACCAAGATAATTAATGTATTTCTACATTTTTAGTCTTTTTTCCTCCTTGCATACATATATATATATATATATATATATATATGATGAAAAAGTGCACCAAAGTTCAACTTGCCCAGTTTATGTTTTATACTATTCTTGAAAATGTGAATGCCATCAACAGATGATTAGATTTTAGTGTAAAATAGAAAGCATGCTTTATTTCTAACATTTCTAAGTGGTTTTAAAAATTAGAAAAAGCAAAATATAATAACAAATGATTTCAAGGAGAAGCAAAATATAATTTAATCACAGCAATCAGTCATAATATTACTGGACTGCAGACCAGAAATTCTTGAGACAGCTAGGAGAGCAATAAATGTGGCTTCATTTTTAAGCAGACATCACAACAATATAGCTAACAACCTTGAACTATTAAAAACTAGGAGTTTCCAGGAAGTTTTGTGTTGTGTGGTGATACAATTTCAAAAGAATTCCAAATCAATTTAAATTCACCTTATAATGCAAGATTTACATTAATGAATTATTTCGGTACTTTTCCGTTTCGCCGGCGCAAATCTCGCCAAGCAGACTTTGTTGGCGACAGCATAGAGTATGCACATAAAAAATGTTAAGAAATGTTAGTTCTAAGAATTTTTTATTTTGAAGGCATAAACATTTTAATATGGTTTAAAAATTTTGTAAAAAGCCAATAAATAAAGACAAGAAATTTGTAAAAACACATTAATTTAAAATTTACTATGCTTTCATGGTTCAACATCCCGATTCGCCGGTTTCTATCACGTGACCCCAAGTGATCTCATCTCGCGTAAACTACGCTACAAAAAAACGAATTCTCTCAGTAATTATCTACATTAATTTCAAATTAAATCTTAATATAGAATACAAGTTTAAATGCAAGAATTATTTCAACTCGTACGAATAGCTTACTCAGAAATTATGTAAAACCGCCTTGCTTTACTTCGCTAGTGCATTCTCATTAGAATTGTTGAATTTAACCCTTGATTTTGCCTTTTCTATATTTTTGGCTTCGGGTGTGATTGCATCAACTTAATTACCGCGAATGGTCTTAGGTAATTTTTACCTAGATAGCTAAATTTTATGCAATTGTATGCCAGTATTGAAAGAAACAATCAATCTTATAAGAAATGGCTGCGACTTGTTTTGAAAATGAAGCGTAAAAGGTTACTAGCGAAGATATTCTGTTTGGCATCAGTTGTACCATTATTGGCGACTTTATCGTTTGCGCCGGCAAAACGGAAAAGTACCATTATTTCTAATATGATTTTGATGTAAAATATATTGATATTTAATTATATAATTTAATTTTATATTCTTCGGCTAATTTCATTTTGCAATTTCTTACCCTTTTAAACTGAAGAAAAGCTTTTATTTACCTAAATATTTTTAAATATGGTGAAAATAAAATTAATAACGAATATACATATTATTGTGTGCATGCTCTGAATATATCATTTATTGATGTAAAACAACATTAGAAACAAATATTAAGCAATTAAACTTTGATTGAATCTTCACAATTACATTTAAAAATGTTTTACATTTGATGACAAATCAAATTTAAAAAAATCTACAAGAATATTATGCTGAAAAACACTAAGTATGGAGAATGGAATATGCTCAATTTAAGTTTCATTAGTTCTATAAATTTCATTTATTGCTGCTGGGATACATTTTTCTCAGTAAAGGCTAAAAAATAAAACCAGGAGATTGGGTGATCTACCTGAAGAGCTGGTAGCTATGTAATATGAATTCTAGCGGTATATCCCATGTTGATGAAAATAATGCATGACATCTTATGATGATAACAATTTCTAACTGAATTAAATGAAAGTAAAATTTAACAATTTTTTATAATAAATAATTAAAATGTTATAAATCATTGCATTATCCAACAACTGAGACACAATTAGCAGTCAACAGTAATAATATTTCCAGGAAATTAGTTAAATTTGCTATGGCAAAACATGTTATTTACCTAAAAGGAGAAATCTCTTTGTGGTGTTTTTCTGTGGAAAATTAGCTCATATTTATGCAACATTTCTATGAAAAACTAGTTCATATTCGCACATCAGCACTGAAGAGCCATGTAGAACTATCACTTCCCCCAAATAATTACCAGAAGCTGATAATAAGAATAGGTTAAAACTATTTGGTATTTGTCAATTATACCCTATGGGTAGGGGACTACAATATTTATTGGAGGAGACAGATTAACAATTAAATACTCTATTGTTACAATAAAACACAATTATATTTAATAATAAATTAACATAATAAGATGAATAATATAGGATCAACCAAAAACAAAAAATCCATTGAAGAAATGAATGCTACTCAAAATCTAGTATGCTGAAATTCAGTAGAAAACACATGACAGTAAAACTGTAAAATAAAAATGAAACAAATAACCTAAGAGAAAAATGATCAGACAGTAAAATAAATAACGTTAATTCTAGTAAAAAAATACTGAGTAACGATCAGAGCCCTACGGCACACTACCTAAAACAAAAAGGTAAACACTAATCATCTGCACTCCCCTGCTGTGTCATACAACATCGGAAAGGAAACCATACATGGCACGCTATCAGCTATTTGGCGCACTAGAATTCGAGTTGGCGAGGAAAACAGGTTACGCGAAAGTTTGGCATAAAACATTTATATGATTATACTACAATGTAAATTTACATTACAACATTATTTTACAGTTTATTAGTACATTTATTTTACTAGCTAGTTATATAAAATAATGTACATAAACATGCACACACTTTTATGGCGTTGCACAGATTCAGAAAATCCCCATATCTTTTGACCAACGCAAAAAGAACACACATATTACACCGTTAAAATAAATCATTATGATACAATATTAATAAATTAACAGATGTGCTGATATACTGACATAGACATGAGGCAGCGACTCAGATCATGATTTCGTTATCTTTTGATATTATAGTCACTAAAATGAGATTCCCTCCCCACAATACCATGTCGTAAATCCTAATTCATGCATTTAACAATTGCAAGAGACCTTTAAAAAAATACATATCATCCATTTACTTTCTTCAAAAATACTTCACATTGCAGGTTTATTCAGGTAAACTAAACTGCTCAATTTAAGAAACGCTTGTATACAAATTTTTTAAACATTTACTTTATATATATAATATCAAAAGAAAAGTAGCATTCTTGCTTACAGTAAGTGCATGCATAGCATGAAGAGGTACATTGCTGTTTAATCGTTTCACTATAGAACGAAGGCAATCTTTGGGTCCATTTGGTGTAATTCCAACTTTGTCACATATTTCGAGTATAGTTGCCCAATCTTCTGAAGTATTATTTTCACTTGTAGCTTTCTCTAGGGTAAAAAAACCCCATTAATATAATGAAATGATAGGAATACTGTACTGATACGAATGATCTACATATAAAACATGCACTAATTAATCAAGTATTAATTTTGTACAGTTAAATGCTAAAAATTAATATATTATAGCTATTTTTCGCTAGCTCGGGTAAAGCGTTTATTTATAATTCTATACAAGAATAATTCTACTGCTAGATAAGCGTTACGCTAAACACGTATGATAAGCATGATGATGAATCAGTTATTTTGCAGCGGCTACCGAATGAATGTAAGATAGATCGTAAATTTTTAACTCATACATTAAATTATATTTAGGACGCATTTTGCAATGTATTTATTAGGGAGAAATGAAAGATTACGGACTGGTCGTGTACAAAATCTAAAACACAAATGCAAAAATAAAAATCTCAGCATTCAATACAAATTTAAATAGAAACTCACCTACAGCTTGATCAAACTGAGAACTACTAAAAAATGGCATATCTTATTTTATTATATTCAAATAGCACACAATAAACTCGTATTGTCAGAAGAATCTAATCCATACACAATTAGATCATGCAATAACAACACTGCGCATGACAAGTAAATATTGCCATGTAGATATTAATTGTAATCGATATAACCGACAACAGTAACATCGATTGGTCATATCTAGTCATCCGACGTCGGATGGTTAGTAGCTCCGCTTCGAATTCCGCTAAATACTGGCTAGCAACTCTCCGGGATTTTATTCTTGATACTGAAAGTGTTGTACTGCATGAAATGATGTAGTAGTAACTGAAAAAGGATTAGACATTTGAACAACCGTATGATTTCAGAAGGGCATAGGTAGAAAAATTTCCGGAAAAAGACAAATATGCAGTTTAAAGATCAGAGTCGTAGCTAGGGTTTTCAGCGCCCAGTGACAACTGAAGATTTCGCGCCTCCTACTGCTTGCCAAGGATGGAAAACATTTAATTCTAAAATGTCGTAACATCAGTTTGGCGCCCCTTGGATTCTGCGCCCGGGGACAGATGGCCCCTTGCCCCCCTCTAGCTATGTCCCTGTTAGAGATGAAACGTTTAAAAATGTGCGTCATCAAGGACAAGTACAGATAGGTTGGGATTAAAATATACTCATACGCATTACGAGTCTTTCTGAGTGGCGTGTTCCATGTGTGGGTTGGAAATTGGAGGTACGAAATGCAAAGAATCTCTAACCAATTGCGTCCCTTAATTCTACACTACTCAGGATTTCAAAAATTTGTTCCAGTGCACTACTCACAGCAATAAATTTAGAGCTTCCTGAACATAAAATTATTTAATTTTCATGGAGGATACAGCTGTAGATGTATATTTTTCTTCCTCTGCACCAGTCGAGAGCATTAACATTGTGAAATATAAACCTTTCAATTACATTTCTGCACAAATATTTCCACAGGCTGTTAAGTGTAGCGTTCAATGGAAAAACGATTCGTAAAATGGCCCTTCTTTGTGCAAAATCCTGATTTATTGTTGAAGAGAATTAGATTGTGGAATTTTCTTCTGTTCTTAAACCAAATCTGATTATGAACAAATCACATGTACATGTATTATGTACAGAAATAATCAGTCACAGATGTTTTTTTACAAAAGTATATAAATTGATTGATTACAATGCGCCGGCGCTCATACACACAATTTTTCGAGACATAGTTTTGGAGTAGTAGGAAGCATAAAGTAGGCAAAAGAGGAATGGAAAAGCAAGTATGACAAATTCAAAATGAAAGCCTGAAAGAGAGGCAAAACGTTATTGTTTGCAGCCAGTTAGTTTCTGATTCAATGTATTGAGATTGAGTAATATGAAAGCTTCAAAATTTATTAGTAGGTGAAGCGTTTAGGTAAGTTATCAGTTTCCAAGCACTATGCAAAAAACATATATGGATTAATGTGAAATTAGCGCAGTTTAGAGAAGTTTATTATAATCGCTTACTAATTTTAAAAATGAAAGAAATACAGCCAGATTAAAAGGGAGAGTTATGGGACTAATACATATTAAAATTCAAATTTTGCTTCATATATTTTTTTATCTTACATATCCCTTCCTCATTTAAAGAGAAAAAAACCTCAGCAACTGAAAAGTGGCTTTAAAGAAAAAGCGTTAGGATTTTCATGAAACATCGGTCCACTTTGCAAAACGTCTTTGTTGACGAGTACAAATAATTATGATTCTTCGGAGAAGGCTAACCGCAAATAAAAAGCTTTTGAATAATCCATCACTTATCTGGATGAATGGATATCGCTCGGAGAACAGCCTTAACGCCAATAAGGGGAGAAACAGCTTATGTCAAATATAAAAAATTCATAAAATTCTAATTTTCATATTTACAAATTACATTTTAACATTATAAATACAATAATACTTCATTAAAATTATGGTTACATTGATACTATACTTCATTTTTAATTGGGTGTTTTAGACAAATTGGAAAGCTCAACAGTTATTCAAAAACAAACATTTCCATAAAACCGGGAACATCCGCTTTAACTGTCTGGTGTGTTGCTGCACCAATAGTCAAGGGAATACTCGACAGTTATTTGAAAAGGCCTCCGCCCCTTAGAAATAAGGTAACAGGCTTTTGAGAACTCCATTAAAACATTTCATAATAATATAAAAATTAATTCTATAAAAATATTACACCCAGTCGTTAAATGAGAACCTTCAATTTTTATATTGTTTAAGAGAGTAAAAGTAACAATTTACTTTCAGACCCTGAAACACGCACCACTGTGATTTTGAACCAATACCCCCTCAAAATACATATTTACATACAATTATTCATTAAGTATAACATTTACTTGCCATAATTTCGAATTTTTTTCTCTAGTAATTTTACTTTTTAATTATATTGGCCATATTGGATCTTATTACCATTATTCTCTAGAGTTGTTATTTAAATTAGCCGCTTATTATGATTTGGATCTTTATTTTAACTTCTTTCCGTTTTCCTCACCAGAATGCAAACCAGTTACTTTTTTTCAAACTTAGGTTTTGGGACTATAAGAAAGAGCGTGTTATCTTATAGTCCCCAAAACCTAAGTTTGACAAAGACCTAAGTTTCATAAGTTTTATAAAAGCCTAAGTTTTATAAGAATTACGCGTCGTACCAAGTTCTAGAGTACCAAGCTAGCTTTGATGCTTGTATTTATTCGGCTTTGCATTATTCCATCGCCATTATTGATTTTGATGCTAATTACTGAGCCAGCTTAGAGTATGTTTAAATTGTGTTGTCGCGACAGCTATTTCACGTCTTAACTTGCATTTGACTGTTCCTGTTGGAAACTACATCTTTACAGTTCCCAATCTAAGATATTAGCGAGAGTACAAACATAATCTTGTAGGTTTAATTATATTTCACTTACGTTTTGGTGACAACAGTTCGAATTTTTTTCCCTTTGTTCAAAAAAATTTTAGAATGTTTTTTTTTCTGTTATTTGATTAAGAGATGTGTGAGTAATGTTTATCGAGAGCAAGAGAGTTTTTTTAATAAACGATCTAATACAGGAACTACGTCACCCCCCCGAAGAATAATGTAGTTTGTTTTCTTTTACTAAGTGAGAATTGTAAATAACTACATTATTGAGATTAAAGAGGTTATCACATATGGCTACAGTCCCTGCTAGACGGGACTTTTCTAAGAAACGAGATTCTGGTAGCACTAGTTTAAACGGGAGGATTCCTAGGAAAAAGAGCCCTGCCTGAAGCGAAGTACCGCCTAGCTAAGGAAACCATGTTGCGGCTACGCGGGATTTTTTCAAACCTCACCGAAAATGTCTCGGCTGGTAGACACAACCAATCAGACGAAATTTCTGCTTCTGAAGCCTCACGTGATCCCAATCTGAGCGATAATCGATTAGTGTTTTGGCGTTCACGTCTTTGTAGTAAGTGAGAATGGTAACCTAGCTACGTGGGTTTCCTGGAATTGTGCGGGTTCTGAGAATTGTCCCTTTAGGCTGTTCTCCGAACCTTATCCGTTCTTTAGATGCAACATAGAGAAAGTGTACTATAAAAATATTAGAGACTTGATTATTGAATAATATTATTTTATGAAAGTTTTGAGGGTACTATTCCGTTATAAGGGCCGTAAAAAATCGCCAAACTACTGTTGATACCAATGCTGCCAAAAAAAATTACTGTAACCCTAACGCAAGAAAGGAAACATAATAGTAAATAACTATCTAAAATTATTGTTTTAGTTTAGATGAAAGGTTAATTTCAAGTAAATACATTTTTTGTTATTATAATTTATAAACAAAAGGCTAAACATAACTGGAATTAAACGGGAGAAATAAGTTTTCGTATGATTTCCAACATACCAGAGAATATTTCAGTTTTTTGTGCAAGCGTCTGTACATGAACTCGGACAAATAATAATCGAAATGCTGTCGAGCAGCGCGATTCTTATTACACCATTTAGCACTGCCCCACAGCCGCTCTACTGTTTGTCTATGACACTCACTTTCGGAGTCCACAAAATTCCAGTTGTAATTGACAGTAAAATGTTCAAAACCGGCAATTTGCAGTTTATACGACTTGTATGATTTCCAGCAGTCAGTATAAATTTTAATGCGATATTTTTTTAAGACTTTCAATAAAGTTTTCGCCGATAGTTCTGGAACAGCGATTAAGAAGAAACATTCATTCGATTCTCTGCATAATCCGCCGAAAACACATAGTGGCGGAAGAACACGTCCAACGTTATTCTTTCTTCTACTGAAAAGGCTTTCGTCTACTTCAATAGTTTTGCCCTATCCTCCGATTTTCAAGTTAGGCCGACCCACCAGCGGCCGAGCGGTAAAGTTGCTGAGCACTGGTAGTTCGGTCCGAAGTTCGAATCCAGCGAACGGGCTGGCTGCATGAACGTTTTCGTGGTTTTCCCTATGTGTAACGTGTATACGAGCCAGTTTCCCTAAGAAAGGCCTCCACAAAAGCATCCCTTCCCTTAGGCAAATAGCCATCGAGGCTTTCCCATAATCACACACACACTCAAGTTACACCGAGTAAATAAAATTGCGGCACACACCTCACGCATATAATTGTTGCAGTTTACGGTTGTATTATGGTTCATCTTCAGCTGGAATTCACAAAATTCAATAGATGTCATCTCCTGACACCAAAAAATGGATGAACCTAACGGTTGTAAGGAAAGGGATTTTCGATCCTTCGAACCAATTTTGACTTCTTAATCCTTTCTTCTCATTACAGGTTTCTTTATTGCACCGCCATTTCGCTACTGAGTTACCGCTAAAGCATAATTTCATCTCGTGGTTGTTCGAACATAATTTTATATCATGAATGATGCCTATTCTTTGAAAAATTCTATTGCAGACTTTTCGTCATTGGACAATTCCCAAATTGTTAAATCCATAGCGTTATTAGAAAAGAATTAAAAAAAATTAAACTAGTATTTCAGAGGCGACTTATAAATATGGAACTGTCTAAATTTACTCACATCGGCACGTTCGCTAGATTTGGCCCGCGGTTTAAATGAGCGCGTTTACTAGATTTGACGATTTTGCGCATATATTTTCGCTGCAATTTTTTGCGGTCCCTAAAACGGAATAGTA